AACAAAAATGACCATGAAATGACCTTCTCTTTTCTCTCTTTCCAACCCTTTTTAGCTGATTACGTTGTAACAGAAATTAATCGTAATACTCAGGATCAGGTATTCTGGATTTTTCTGAATAACAGTCAGCGTTATTGTCTGCCAACTACATTGCTGTATCGACGTAAGAAACTATTTCAACGTTCGAGAGGGAGCATTCAGCTCTGACAACTTTGGACGATGAGAACCTCTGTGATTGGCTGGAAGGAATTTTGGAGGATAGAGACTGCCGTCGTCAGCCATGCATCCATCGTCCGCACTCGTCGAATCGGTCTTCTTACCCTTTTCCGTGCGTTAGGTTTCGAAAACGGCACGTAAAGATATATAAATCTCACTTCATGTTTCGCTTTTCGTACGTTAGCAATGAATTCGGCTGCTAAGTTTTGTAAAAAGTTTGCAGAGTTTTGGGATTTGTTCAAATCGTTTCTAAAACGGAAGTATAGTTTCGAGAAACGGACGTAAGCAATTGGGAAAAACTGTAATAAGGAGAATGCGCAATCTTTTGAAAGTAGGTTTGAGGCTGTAAACCGTCATCAATCAAGACTGAAGCACAGTAAAATACACAGTCAATTGAAGCGAGTGGCGAACGTATGGGACACCATGGCTATGGACAGTCCGCCTGGTCGTTGGTAGCAAGAGCCCCGCTTAAGGCTTAGGGGGCTTTACCGTGGCTAGGAAATTGTTTCCGTCGCCTGATAGCATAAGTGTGTAACATGTGTCACCTATTCGTCCTTGACTAATCATTGACGTGCATGTATATGGATATTACTTGCTACAACGGCACGTACGTCGGTGGAGGGCCATGGCGCGTTATCAGAGTGGAAGGGAAAGGGATCACGAAACTCGTACACGTGAATTGGATGTGGACCCATGATGTGACGTCGGTCTTATCGTGGGAGAGGCCACATCACTTCAGGAATCCAGGGGATCTCCAACGTATATGCCCCAACGGATTTGTTCCCCAAATAATATCCAAGGAGTCATAACTTCATCATGCAGAGTGGGTTACAAAGTCCCTCGTCCATTAAATCCATTCTCCAATCCACCAAGCTTCCAATTCAAGATCTTGAAGTTGACGAGAGACTGAACGCAAATCAGTACCGATTTCACCAGGGCCCTCTCCTAGATTGTGGGCCTCCAAACTTGACCACCTCGTCTTTCCATCTCCTCTCTTTCAGTTAATTTGAACTAGTGCTCAATGTTTTAAAAGAAAAGGTTCAGGACTTTGAATTTGTGATTTCCCATTTTCAGACAAAACTATTTTTGTTTTGCCTGAAAGTAGTTACACGGCTTTAATTCCTGTTAGGGTTTATAAGCAGTCGGACCTGTTGTTTGTCTAAATTATATTATTCAGATTATGCCTTTTTTGTTGCAACATCTAAAGAGTTTCTAAGTCAGTTTCATTTAATTCCAGTATTTTTTTTATTTTTTATTGTTGTTTGGTTTCTTTTGTCTCAAGTAATTCCTGATAATAGACTTAACTTACTTCATGGAAGCTGTATTGATCACTCCATCTCGACTTGACTTGGCCGAACCTGGTTTCCCGAAGAGTGAAAAATTGTAGTAACAAACTGGGGCGCGTCGAGGTTGTTGCCGAGGACAAGGTATTCACTTAATTCACCTTTCCATCAATCAGACACACTGCGCCCCATGCCCGTTACAACAGTATGTTCTTTACTTCGTGCCTGAGATTGTCTTGTTGCCGTTAACCTTTCCTGTATCACAGAGGGCCGGATTACTCTGGTTGGCCTGGAGAGAGATCTGTAGATTGCCGCGGTAATCCGCAGGCAAAATCCCCAGTCTTGTTTGCATTATGTTCACCGTCCACATGAAAGATTATTTTGGTTGCAGGTCGTACCTCGTGAATTTTGCAGGAATTGCCCCAGCTCCAAATAGCTTATGGTACCACTAAAAACTGTGTGACTGTATCCAATCTAGTACTGGTAGACGGAACGAACCAGAAACAAGGCATTCTGAATTCGGTACCGGCTAGTCAGGCTGTCAAAGCTATCATGGTATAATGTACAGACATTGTTCACTTCATATGGGAAATCCTAGAGGTTTTTGACGATGGAAACCTGACGGGGGGGGGGGCAAAACAGATGGTGGAGAATGAAGCATTACAGCATTATGCTCACGAAGATTAGCTCAATTGTCTGGCTCAATTGGAGTTGGCCATTTGGACATTTGGATTTTTCAAGTCGCAGAGGAATGATAGTGTGCCAGACAACATGGTATCGATTCCTTGCTTTCCAGATGTTTTGAAGTAGAGGGTGTCCATAAAGTAACTACCTATGGGCGACATTCTTATTATAGACCCTAGAGTTGCTATTATTAAAACTTTTGTAGACTGACAACGTACCAACCTCGGAATGTTGTCAGATCTTTCCTCCTTCCACTTTGTCATGGCCGAGAATTAATTTCCCACATTTAGTGTTTTATTTATTCATTATTCATTTGAATGGGAAAGCAATTCAGATAATTTTGCAGTTCGACCTTATTGTAACAACTTCTTCAATCTATCAATAGAATAACAGCGTTATGGGAATTCAAAATCATAAAAACTAGGAATTTACTCAACCAATTGGCTCAATGTGTCGACCGCCAATTTCCAGACATTTATGAGCCCTGCCTATTGCATTGTCGGCAACATTAATTAGAATTCTGTCACTTTACTGGCACATGGCAAGAGAGGTATTCACTTGCAAGTTGTTCAGATCTGTGGGCTTGTCCTTTTAAACAATGCCTTAAAGTAACTCCCAGCGAAAAAAATCACAAGGGATCAAAATCTGGAGAACGCGGAGGCCATTTGCCTGATTGACAATTTGGGATGCTACTTTCCATATGTCTGAACCTGATTTTGAAGCAAGGGTTTGGTGAATTAATTTTCAGTCACATTAAAATTCAGGAACAAAAGATGTGAATCCATTCTATTAAAATTAAAATTAAATTCGTTCCCACAGGTTCAGCATGAAAATAGTTGCCCATAGGTTGTCACTTTATGGACACCATGTATTTTAGCCATGTATTTTTTTATGCAACCACAACAAGTGGTAGATGTCTAAAATGAATGAAGTAAATATCTCCCTGTATTTCAATGTACGGTGTATATTATAATTCCAACTGAACTTCTACAATTCCACAAATTTCTTGCTATGGTATTAATCATTCTGAGCGTTTGCAAGTCACCGAGGGTCTCTTGGCTGTGCCTCTCCCTCAGAAATGATATTTGTCTTGTTCATGTCCAAAACTCAGACATTTATGCTGAATTTCATTATGAATTTGCCCAGGAGAAACACTGGATAGCAATAGAGAGGTGTTCTTTTCATAAATGTGTCACACATATTCGAAATGTTCCATGATAATTCTATCAATACTATGCCAATTTTTTAGTGTGGATAATATGAATATTTCTCAAGTGCATTTCACTCCATATGCCCTTACTTTGGTGGCATGAAATTCATGCAATCATGTCAGGATGAATGTCTATTCCTTGTTAACTTCGTGTGAATTGCATGTACCTGTTTGGATATTGCAGAGATGATATATTTTGTATAAAATGAATGACAACGTTTTGTATAAAATGAATATGTAATTGGCAAAAAGTGGACATCATCTTGAAATTTGACATTTTCAAAAAACGAGATTCAGTGTTCTCTGCAACCCCAAGGAATTGGAACTTCGAATTTCTCTGAGCGATTCAGTGCTGAGAGGGTAAGAAGCATGCCCAATTTTGTTCGTCTGCTACTCTAAGAGAGGAATACAAGGAGGTTGAATTTTATGATGGAAGGGGCTGAAGAAAGGAAATAGACGCCTCAGCGACTATCGACCAACATTATCCATTAAACATCATTAACATTTTAGATCCGAGGACTGACTCTCTTTGTGTCTCTCTTTTGTCCGTTCCAAGACCTGGAGGCTTTCAAAGAACTCAACACACATCGTCCTCTTATTCTAACATCGGCCACCCGCCACAAGAACTTCATCTAGGCCCATGTATCCCCGACCGCGTTATTTTAGTTGTCACCAACAGTTCGTGTCTGTAGGTGTGGGGAAGGGTGGGAGGTGAACCCTTTCAACTGAAAGTTTCGCCTTGAAGAGCGAACACTGAGGTACGTATACCTCTCCACCCGTTATTGTGGAACCACCTAATATGTATGGCGCACTGTACAGGAATTCTCGAGGAAAACAATCTACATTTTGGGGATGCTGAATTCAGGCTGCAGCACATTTCGAGCCGAACCAGTCGAACACGCCCTGAAGCTCTGGTCAAGACCGGGCCTCAAGGTAGGCATAATCAGTAAAGAGAAGTATCTTCTCTTTGATACCATTTTTTATTCAAAAACTCCTTCCTTTAGGCAAAGTTTTAGTACAAGAATAAATTTTAGCTTGGGCAAGAGCCAGACATTCTCGTTTCGGCAGCTCTTAGAACTAAACTAAACCTTCTACAAAACCCAATTTAAAAACGGGTTTAGATTCAGGGTTTTAGCTCGAGGAAGGATATGACTTAGGTGCTCTTTGCACCATTTTATATTTATTTGGCCCTGTAGGTTGCGTGAAAAGAAAAAATTCATTAGCTCTCATGTTTCAAGGTACCAATACTCAAAACCCTCCTGATGGTCATATTTACGCTTATAAAACCAGGTCATCTTCAGTAATATAGAGTTATTGAAGCAGTTCATGTATGCAAGGAATAATTTTCTCTGTATAAAGAATGATTCCCTTCATTAAATGCGGTCAACGAATAAACTGCATGCTTCAGTTACCAGTTAGAAGTCGCTTTGCTTGCAAGTCTCTGATAATGAAGGGCCTCCTTCAATGTGGAAAAAAAGCCTTAACAAATTGTTCAACAGCAATTTTAAACATACATTCATTCAACATGCATTGTTTCAAGATGGAGGATATTTAATTCAATATTGATGCGGTGCTGCATGGGTATTCACTTAGACTTGGACTTAGACTTAGACTTGACTATGCGCCATCAAGGACTTCGTCGCCATCAAGATGGCTCCTTCACGTAGTGTATGCCCTCCAAGTTCACCACCTTCTTTCACAAATTCTATATTTTCCATCTCTGCTGATTCCCGTGGGTTCTTCTTGGAATGCCCTCTCCAATCTTCAAACAAAAGACACCTTGAATCAAGAAGAATACAAACTAAGTCAAAAGCGGCTGAGTTTACACCTTCCAGGATTCGTGAAGCAGCCCTTGCCTGAATTCATTGCGTTCATTTGAACTCTTGTAAACTGCCTGGATCATCCACAGACTCTTAGAGGGATGTTTGAAGATGATGAAGCAAATCTCCCCCTCAGGTATGACTTTGTTTCTTTCTAAATCGAAGAGGGCGGTCGGCCATGAAAAGTCTTTCGGAAGCACTACAATTTGCTTTCTCAGACCCTCCTGTTCAAGTGTCTTCTATGAAGAATACATTTTCAGATCGGACAGATTTAATGACCTAAGATATGCCCACCTGTTTACTTGCTTCTATGGCGCGAAGAATTTTATCCGTATTTTCAGATACGGATACAGTATTTCTCAAACTTTCTTCAAACATTCTCCGGGCTCCATATTTCGTTTTGTTTCCTCCTGTACTCCCATGGGAATCAACAAATGTGATTCCCTTAATTGAATATTTGTTAACCAGATTTTCTTGAGGAAGCAAGTGCATCCTGCATTCAAAAGCAATTTATGATACTTCAGAAGCAATGTGTTTTACTCAGAGATATGTTTAGCAGCACTTGCCTTAACTTTTTATCATCTGCACTGATGGGAACAGCCTGGATTCTCCACTCTTCAGACTCATCAGACGACTTAGGAAAAATTATGCATTTTACCTGACCTTTTTTTAGCCTCCCTTCTGCTTCCCTTTGGAATATCCTTTCCACCCATGGAAAGCCCACATCTGCAAGCTCCATGATTTGCTCTGACCCATTCACCTGTACAAGGTTCTTTCAAATAGGGCAAGCTTCCTCGTCTGACACGATATGACTTGGGACCTACCTACCTGTAATCCTTCTACAGCCTTGTCAATTAGCACTTCATAAGCAGTGATAGTTTTTTGAGCCATAGCAATGACTCCACCACGATCCCTGTGCCCTCCTATATATCCTCTTGGGTGCACAAATATGATATTTTCAATTCCAGACTTGTCTTCCAACTCTTGGCCATGCAGCCCTCTCCATTCATGCCACAAGAGCATCCTGTATTAGAGAGACACTCAGGGTGAGAAAAAAGTAGGTTCAAGGTAATTTCTTCGAAAGAGACTTCTTCAATGGACACTTCTTCAACTTGACGCTTCTTTGAAAGGTTTTCGTCGAAACGTCCAGTCAAAGAAGTGTCTTTCGAAGAAGTGACCTGGAACCAAATAGTCAATGTGTTCAGCTCCATGAATGCATAAAACTGTACTTGCCTTGACCCGCCTTCTTGGGCGGGGACAGCCTGAATCCTCCATCCAGTATCCGATTCAGGGAATATCACAAACTTGATTCTATGATATCCAAGCTCAAGCAAGTGATCTTTCCAGGGCAATGGCTTTTCCAACTCCAGGATATCTTGATTCTTCTATAAAAGATTATTCAATGAAGGAGAAGTTCTCTGATCTTACGAATTTAATGCATTCCCAGGTTCACCCTTAAGTGCATGACGTAGCAGATATCCTACATACCAAATAAAAAATTTTGGAATACATAGGTGGCAAGCTCCTGAGGTAAATCGGTGCAACAGTCCAGTCCTTATATTAATACCTAGCAACCATGCGGTCGCTAGGTGCCATACACTCCTGGTGACAAGCAAATTAAAAACGCCTGGCTTGGTCATGTGACAGATTGACGTTTTTGGTGGAATTATCCTCAATTTTACGCTAATTCAGCATCCAGGTTCATCCGTATTTTTACATTTTCTTATGCGTTGAGGTATATACAATACGAATGTTAACGGACCGACTAAGCTATCTGGCGTCCATGCAACATGGGTTAGAAAGCTGAAAATTATGTCCCATGTACGTAAAAGTTGTGTCCCATCGCAATATGCCATTAACCTCAGCAATAACAAAAAAATCAGGAAAATTTTTTATGTACAATAACAATAATTGTTAACTGATTTAGAATCTCTTAATAGTTTCCATTATAGCCACCCTAGGCACGGATGACAAGGTTCAGACGACCCATGAAAGCATTGACTGATTTTCGCAAGTCTTCCTGTGGAATTCGCTCCCATTCTCTTTTCAGGAATAGCTTGAGAGACTCCAAAGAACGGTGTTTTGTAGTATACACTTTGCTCACCAAGATGGACCAAATTTAAAAATCTAAATCTGATTTTTTCAAACCACTCGGCATCAAGGGGCAGCTTCTGGAATGTTCTGGGCCGGGATTACCGCTTCTGGACGCACTCCGCTCGTTTTCGTGCATGAGAAGATGAAGCTCAACGCTGAAGTATACTGGAATCCTGGGAGATTGCCTGGTTCCGTGGGTCACGAATCATTTCACTGGAGGTAGCTGGGTCTTCCAGCAGGACTCCCAAGGCGCGGATGACCCAGGAGTGGCTGCGGAGAAATGTCCCCGACTTCTTTTCGACTTCACAATGGCCCCCATTCTCTCTCGATGTAACTCCATAGATTTTTCAATTTGGCCATCTTGAAGAGCAAAGTGTGTGCTACAAAACACCGCTATTTGGATTCTCTCAAGCTATCCCTGAACAGAGAATGGGAGCGTATTCCACAGGAAGACTTGCGAAAATCAGTCGATGGGTCGTCTGAACCTTGTCATTCGTACCTAGGGCAGCTATATTGGATACTATTAGGTGATTCTAAATCAGTTAAGAGTCCTTGTTATTGTACATAAATTTTTCCTGATTTTTGTTTTTACTGAGGTTAAAGGCATATTGCGATGGGACACAACTTTCTTAACGCCCTGTAGAAAATGGTAGATACAGGTTATTTTATAAGTGGAATTTACCAAATAGAATGCAACTGGTTTTAATTGTTGGTTCCAACTGGAAATTACCAATTTAAAATGTGTACAAGGATTTACCAGCTGCAATACAGCTTTGTAGGTGGACATCTGGCAAGAATAGCCAAGAAAAAAAACTTTCCAGCCGTTACTCAGTTGGAATGGGTCTGGATATGCAGCCGTTTCCAACCGGGATTTTAAGATGGATTGGGAATTGCTTACCTTGTCAGTTGAAGCTTTCAAAGCTGTCGAAACCTTCTCCCTAGCAGGCCACCATACCTCTCCATAATATCGGACCCGGTCGATAAATTCTTCTTTAACCATTTCCATGGCTTTGCAAAAACATTTATCAGCATCAGGATCTTCTTCTACCCATGAAGGGTTGAGGTGGCTCACTCGGGAAGTAATGTTGGTCCCGATACGGTATCTAGGATATATTAACTCCTTTTCTCAACACTGACCAGTTCAGAAAATGTAGGACAAGAAGATTAATGGCTCCTACTTCGGGTGTCCACAAATTTTCGAACCATTGTCTATGGCGTCAATTTCATTGACGAAATTTTCATAGACTTGGTCAAAGACCCTGTCCACAATTTTATCGAATTCCTCTTGCTCCAGGGACTTGTATTTGTCTTTGAGGATTTCTTTAATGATGGGGCAACCAAAGTGATGGAATATAAGGCCGGCACTGCTCAGCTTTGTTTCCCACTTCTTCCCAGGCCGCAAGGTACTCATGCTTTCCCTAAAATCTCTATAAAGGGAATGGATACTTAAATATTTCATGCAGAAGGGCAGACCTGCACTATTTTCAGATTGAATTCGCCCCCCCTCCCCCACCCCATCCTTGGTAGCGTAGAACGGAGAAGGCACTACTTCATGGACAAGAAAAACCTTGAGACAGGTGTCATTACCTTCAATGAATTGAAACACTCCTGGGAGGGTGCGATTTCAATCTAGAAGATCCTTTAAGAGATTTCTTCTAACCTAATCGTATTATCATGCAGGTACAGATTAAAGGCTTACCGTTGATGGTGATCATATTTCTGCTTGGCATGTTCATATTTGCAGCCTACATCCACTACTACATCACAATTTCCAAGCTCATCTTCCTTTCTTGTTCTGCATGAGAGGGCATACCAAGAAGTTTAATGAGAGCCATTTCTGCAATGAATTCTCCTTAGATGCAGTTACAAGTGAGAAGTTCCATTTATATAGGTAAAAGCAACTTCAACTTGTGATTGTTCTTTTCCATGCATGGTGTAGGCAAAGGGAGATAATCTAGTCAGGTATGATATTTCTGAGGAAATATTGCTTCAGAGCATCTCTCACAGTGTCATGGTGAGTGCCTTGACATTTTCCTTCCTAGAAATGACATCATAAGTCTGAATGTTCACACAGAAAAGCAGAAAACCCTCGACTCAAGATTATGCATGCAATCTTGAGATTTTAAAGAGAAAAAAGTATTGAGCGTTTATGCTTCATGGCTATTTGTTGTAAGTGATTTTATATTGCCCATAATTCGTCTGGATTCACTGTGAATACAAATGAAGAACTATCACTGATGCGCACATAAGAGGGATTATGCAAAAGTCCACGGCAACTATTTCTTCCCTTCCGCTCATCGTGATGATTATATTTTTCCTTTGTTCCTTCATTATTCAGGAGTGTAAGGAAAAATCTCCGGAAAAATTGAAGTGATGGAGACGCGGAAACGGAAATCGAATGAAGGTGAACATGTTGAATTTCCGCCGCCGGTCGTTGGGGAAATCCGGTACGCGGTTTTTTTTTTCCGTCGTGGGATTAAGGGAAGCGAGATTCTTCGGGAGCTTCAAGCGACTTACGGCGAACATGCTCCAGGCAATACGATGGTCAACAAATGGATTTCGCGATTTCAAAGTGGAATATTCAGCGTCCACGGCGATCCACGTGAGGGACACCCCCGAAGCTCAACGGACGACCAAAATGTGGCAGCAGAGAAGGCGGCGATCGACAAGATGGCAGAATCACCCAAGAAAAGCTCGGGGCAATGCTGAAAATCGGCCAGGAAGCTGTCTCAAGGATCCTGAATCGACTTGGTTACATCAAAAAGTGTGCAAGATGGGTCCCCAAGCTTTTGACGCCTGAACAGAAGGAGACTCAAGTTCGCCAAGGACTTTCTGGAAAAATTCCGGAATGGAAAATCACCCGATTTCAAGAAAATCACCACTGGAGATTAACCCCGTCGCAGTCCATTAGCAGCTGAATCATTTGGAGGAGGCCGATTTTGAAATCTGCTTCCAGCGCTGGATTCACCGCCTCCAGAAATGCATCAATATCGGCGGGGAAGATGTTGAGAAGTGCTGAACTTTTTTCGGTTTGGGATCATGAATAAACATGCTTCACGGAAAAAATATGAAAAAAAATCTGTCTACATTATTTCTTTCAGTTGCCGCGGACTTTTGCATAATCCCTCGTAGATGGTTCCATACCTCAAGCTTCTTTTTCAAGTCAAGGTCATGCTTCAAATGAAATAGAGTAGACCTGTCCTCATGAAACAGATATTTTTATTGGAGCATACCCACCTACTAACTGATTACAGATTAAGGAAATCAATTTTATTTTTTTTTTAAATTCATTATAACCCGTCTATCTCAAGAAATCACAAAAAATTGTCTTGTGATGTTATTAGGAATGTGCAAGCTCGTATTTTGACAGTCAAAAGTATACTAGGATAGTTTAATTTAAATCAGATGGGTCCATGGTTTTTGCGCCACGTCATACTCGTCGTCTTAAAAAAAATATATGCGGTCCTCCCATGCAAATCATGAAATATTTGTATCTGCAATAGTTTTGGATAATAAAAAAATTCATGAGTGGAAGGCGACGTATCAAATAGTTTTCCTCAAATTTCGGTGTACTGTATCTCCTAAACTAATTTCCATAGGTTACTGAAAACAATGTATCGCTCACTTGAAAGTACGTAATGTATACACATTGAAATATTTCCGGTTATTAATATGTTAATAATTATTTTTCAATTTTCAAAATCATCGAAACTGCAGAATGCACTTTTTTGGCGATTTTTTCCTAGTGCTAAATGTGAATTCCATCTTGAATCAAAAATATATTTTCAAAACTGAATTCATTCAACTCTCGGTGTCATTAAGCATTTTTATCATTCCTACCTAGTTTGATATTAATTGACTAATTTTATCATTTTCCTAACAATGGGGGAAAAAATTTTTTTTCTCTTAAAAACCCATAGTAGATTTAACAAATTGTTTCATCCTGATACTAAGTAGAAAGCATGGCTTACCACATGGTACAAAAATGTCCTCCTCCTTTTCCCTAACTACAGTCATAGATTGTTAAACATGCACAATTTTCAACTATATTAAAAAGAAAAATGGTCACAGTTATGATTAATTTTTATCTGAATATGTAGGGCATGTCAAATAATGTCGTGTGGTGATGAATTCGATTATGTGATATTAACATCCTACACCGATGTAATGATCAAATTACGTCGCATGTGAAATATACTTTAGATTGCTTTTCATAAAATAATGATAGTTCGCATTTTCGACCTATTTAACAGATTATGCAGATACGACTATTTGTAGTTGTAGTCTCTGTATCTAAACTACCCTTTAATTTTACTTCAAAATGATTCCAATTTAAAAGGTTTCATCATACAAATGAGTTCACATTTTAATTTAAAAACCCTCTAATCTGTTTTGCGCGCCATCCTGCTCCTCTTGTGCAGCTTTTTCTTTGACCTTCCGAAGCTTTATGACCTCCTTTTTTGTTGAAAATATATTATTTGAAAAAATATTCACTTTCAAAAATGGTTGTTCCTTTATAGGGAAATATTTTCTATTATCAGGATATGAGCCAAAAATGTGAAAAATCGTGATGGCAACATACTGAAACTAGGTTTTTCTGAAAGCTGAGTGTTGTGAAAATGTTCTTAGGCAAAAAATTTATTTGGAAGAATTTGAGTTAATTCGATATATATTGCTTATAGTCTCCCCATAATAGTTTTTTGGGGGGAAATTGTGGTGTAGTTATAGATCACTTAATGATACATCAAAAAACAGATTTTCATTGAAAGCAACTGCTGCATGAGGGAGTTATAGGTTAAAGGTAACTTATGCTTTTACAAACTGTTAGTTACATTGGTCTTTTTTTGCTTTTGGAGGCATCAAACCGGTTCTACAAGTCAGTCACAGAAGGGCCAGCCAATACATTATCACCAAATGCATTCTACAAGTTCACTACCCAAAAACATAAGGTCATTCCATAACCTGAGTCTCATCAAACTCACAAAAGCTTACCAGGCTCTACACGACTGAGTCCTTTTTTATGTTAAAGGCTTCAAGGATGTGCCCCTTTATTAGCCCCCTCTGAAGTAAGTACTTCCTCATATCTTAGACTCTTGTGTGGAAGTTCTTATACCTCCTTAACAATTTGCGTAGTCCACCTGTAAACCCACTGAAACAGGTCTGCAAATTATAACATAAAAATATAAAAACAAGGTCTTAGCAGTGGTGCATACTAGGGCTGAGATTAATCGATTAAAGCGTTAATAGCAATTAAAAAATTTAGTCGAAATTTATCGAATTTAAAGCGACACCCCAACCTCCCACTGAATGCCTCATTTCCCCCCGCCAAATTTAACTGTGTGGTTCATCGTTTTGTGAAACATCCAAAAACGAATTCTTTATCAAGTGAATGATGACTTTTGGAAAGTGGTAATTTTCGCACTGTTCATTCTTCCTCAAGAATGAAATTCTAGTTTTTGGAAAAGGGAAACACATAAAAACGAAGCCATCGCTTCGCGACCCATTGGCATCCACAAGCGTACGGGTACGTATCCCGCATCTTTGCGCCCAGCCTACAGCCTAGAAATGCCTCGTCCGTCAGGCTATGGTAGCTGAGGTCTAGGACAAAGCGACCGAAGGCGCATAAGAAATAGGGAATTTGGGGAGGGACATGGGACAGGAGAGCGAGAGGCATACGTGTGAGTGAGCCTGCGAAGGTCCCGCGAAGGAGTACCTGGAAAGTAACGGAGAGAGGGAAAACCGGAAGCAGGCGAGAGAAAAGGAAACGAAGGTGTGAAATAAGTACTTCTTTGCTCTTTCTGAATTCTTCCTTGCTCTTTCTATTCCTCCATCCTGTGTGTTGCCCGTGAATCGACAAAGAAGAATCTTTAATCTCACGTAATGAAGTGTCACTGTATAATTATAATCATTTTGGTTACATTTTTGCTTCCTTCTGGTTTGGGTTGGCTAAATGGCAAACGGCCTTAGTGCGTTTTTTTGCTAACGTTCCATTTTTTATCTGGCTAGATTGTAATTGTGCTCTCTCCGATTGGAATGTGCCACATATAGGTTGAACTACTGTGTGGTAGTCACTTTTGCTAGAGACTGCATCGCCTTGAATCACTTCCAGAGGTTCGCCTAGGTGTTGGGCATGACACAAGGAGAATTATGCTCTACGTCTAAGACATGATTCAAGGAAGAACTGAGGGATCGATTAAAATTCGATTAATCCATTAAATTACTCACGATTAATAGAACAAAATTTTTAATCGATTGACAGCCCTACTGCATACAACAAAAGAATAGCATGCGAGCTCTCATAGACAAAAAAATATCAGATTAATGCTAAAATTATTTTATAAATAGCTACATTTACCGACATACAAGAAAACATGGGTTTCATGTTCATCATGATCTCTCTCCATTAGCTTCCTCCAGTGTAACCTCAC